CAAACTCTGATATTTAACAGGCGTTTTTGTAGTGAAATAAACTTCTTCCTTTCCTTCTCCCTTCGAGATGTATTCTTCTCATATTGGAAAGAATACTGTCTCTTATCATATATTTCCTAAAATTTGGCCATTGGCTTCAGGTAGACCAGTCATGGCCCACTCATTCTATTTAGGCAGTGGGGAAGTAGAAAACAGTTGAGCCCTTGATTCTGCAGAGCTGTGTGCTCATTATAAATACTTACCCAGCATTGGCTTGTCAGGAAAAATTCAGTGTATGGGATGATTCATATTTGACCATTTTTTGTTTGTTTGTTTTACTGCTTTGAACTTCTTCAGGAGAAAGAACTCTTCTTAAAGTAAAAGCGAGTCAAAGTGTCAGAAAATGTGAGGGGATTACTTTGAGTGCATCGTGGTATATGATTTAAATATTCTTACTTTTCTCCTGATTTTCAGAGCCCAATTAAGTAGAAATAATTTCAAAAATGGAGGGAGGATATTCTTGTACTGTGATATGCCAGTGGGAGGACATGGAAACCGAGAATTAGATGAGGAGGTAGGATTATGTGTGGGTTACGTATGCAGGAAGAAGCAGGCTATATTTGTATGGTCAGTATAAGGCACTGGAGATGATTTTAGATCTTGAACCATGCAGCCTATTTTGCACTAATGAGAAATGTCAAAGCGCCAACTTGAGAGAGTCTTCCATACTGGGAATAGGAAAAATAGCACAGAAGGGCACCTTGCAGGGAGTTGTAAGGATTATTGTATAGAAATCTAGCAGAGAGCCTGAGGTGGGAGGACTCCCCACTCAGCAGTACATTAAGGAGACACCCCTTCCGTGACTTTCTAAATGAGTCAGGAAGGATTTCAGAGAAAATGTTCTTTCTTTTTTTTTTTAACTGAAGTACAGTCAGTTACAAAAAGGGTGGGAAGGGATAAATTTGGGTGTTTGAGATTTGCAAATGTTAGCCACTGTATATAAAAACAGGTTAAAAAACAAGTTTCTTCTATATAGCACAGGGAGCTATATTCAATATCTTATTATAACCTTTAATGAAAAATAATATGAGAATGAGTATGTTCTTATCACTTTGTGAGTAGGGCCAGTAAAGTACCATTTCTTACTGTTGCTACATCTCTACTGAAATTGAAGTTTGGGGCGCCCCAGTAAGTGTGAATTACTTTAAAAAATTATGAATTCTCTCATCTTCAGGCATTTTACCTTTCTATTTTTATTTTTAAGTAGTAAGGTAATATTCTTTCTGAATTATTAGACAGGAAAATAAAGCCGACTCTGGGGATGGAAAAAATGAGGGGTCTTCCTCTTATGAGTACATCAGTCAAGAATCATTATTTTGGTCAAAAAAATAAGTCACCAGACAAATTTTTAAATTTTGTTAAAAAGGATTCTCCCTTTCCTTGGGTGGTGGAGGAGGGGAGAGAATTTTTGCATTTGAAATTCAAAGAGTTTAGAACTTAAAGAAGACCAGCTGGCTGTGGTCATCCTTTCCTCTTCAAAACCTTCTCTTGTGAGTTAGAACGGTTAGCCGAGTGAATGGGTGCCCAGGTTTGGGTTCCTGACCAACTGTAATGAGCCAGAATGTATCACAGAGGTAATGACCAGGTGCGTAGACACATGCATACAACACAATGCCCAGTAGCTCATTCTTCAAAGACATTTACTCCAAGGCTGCATGGCTACCTTAACTCAGAAGAGCCCTTTAAGAAAGTGCTCCTGCTTTCTCTTTCACGGTGAGAGAGAAATTGCTGTCCAAACCACATGCATTTCAAAAGACAATTGCTTTCTGAAATATTCATTGTTTAGTATCAGAAAGATCAGCTTTTATGAGTGGTCACATTTAGAAGAGTATTTAATACATCATTATTCTCTCCTGTTTCTACATTGGTGCCAAGAAGTACATGATCTTGGGTT